TGAAAGCCTGGAGCTGAAGGAACTCTCCATGGCTTCAGCAACAGTTCCACGCAGAAATCACGCAGGACCAAGCCCTAAATTTGTCAGCGGGTGGTAAGCCAGTGTTTCTTTCACCTAAGGTTCAGTGGCGAGAGGTGCTAGCAGCATTCCAACCGTAAGTGGATTCAGGACATCCAGCATTAGTGGAACCTAACTTACCAAGGAAAGAGCAAGCCTAACGCACTTTTTTAACTAGGCTTGTCATTATTTTTAAACCAACTATACAATGGTGTGTTTCTATTTTCATAGCCTGTAATATTGTCAACGAAAAATGACAGATCTATTGTGAGTAGCATATGTAAGTAATATTTTCTAACAAAGTGATGGATGTAATATTAATACACGTAATTGTTTTAAAAAGTAGAAAACATGTAAAATTACAAAGAAAAACCCTGCTCAAGTATAGAGCTTGCTTGCAATTACCATTAATGCTGTATGTATTTTTAAACAAGCTATAATACTGTGATGATGCTGTAAACTTACTTCTGTAGGCAAAAAATGTCCTATTTAAAAATGTCAAGATGAAGGATGCAAATGTTCTTAAAGTGTTATCAACTAAAAATATGAATTTTCACTGAATATTCTAAAGGATTCTGTTACATGCTACAGATATATTTTCCAAACGTATTTATGGATCATACACACTAGTCTATGTGAGAACAAACAGTACTATTTTATTACAAAATAAATAAATTAATAAATAAGCAGTGAATATCCATTCCCAGAAACTGGAAAATGTCTTTTTAAGGTACTCTTATCAATTCTATAGGTAATTAGAAAGACAGAAGACCTAGTACGTCACTGACAGAAGGTCTGCACTCCCCCTCATTTCCCAGCCTCCCCCCATACAGATCATGCTGCTGTCACTGCAGGCAAAGATCTTCAGAATCAGCTGGGGAAGAAAAAGGAACAGTTAGCTAGTTGCATAAAAACAATGCAAGTGTAGTATTTGTAAGATTAATACAGGCATTCACAAAATTAAAACACATATTTTGAACACTGAGTTTTTGAATATCAGCTCTATGGCAGGCAGTAACAATTTGCATACTGTCTAGGTTGGCTCTTATTGAGTGGCGGAGACAGTAAAAAGTCGTTCTCTGAAAACCATACTGAATGGTAATAAAATTACAACTTGAAGAATGCAAGTACATTTCAAAATGCTTTAAAAATACGAAGCTGGAAGTGCTCCAGCTCTTGCTGGAGTATGTATGTATGGTTTGGAATAACTGCACTGAAACCTACAATTCAGGTTTTTACTGAAGAAGAATCTGGGCACTGCGTCAGCTAACAATTTCACAGGAGAACACAATCCTTCCAGCAGCAAAGCCTTGTCCTCAGTGCCACCAGTCTAAAATTTTCATCAAGTTCCCAATAAGAATAAATGGGCTCAGCTGTCCTTCTTGGAAGCTGATCAAACTGGCTACTGTTAAAAAAAAAAAAACCCAACCCACCAAAACACACAAGCAAAAAAACCCCAAACCAAAAACTCTTGCCACAGAACAGAACCATGACTGGGAGATGGATTTATGAAAAGGCAGTGACCCCAAGGGGGCCTGAAGCATTTCAGTTTTTAGTATAGCTTCAGAGAAAAAATCCAAGATCAATGTAAGGATCCTACTGGATCAGTGGGAGCAGGTCCCACCTGGGTCAATGTGACGTTGCTCAAGCAGAGGCTTGGACAAGACAATGTCCAGAGGTCCCTTCCAAACTCTGGTTACATATTTCACAAGTGGATGGAAATCAGTGTTCAAACGTGTTTATCTTTGTTCCCAGTTCATATCCAGGCAAGTTAACTGCGCTAAAACTTCACTCCCATTCAAACACGTGCTAGTGGCAGATTGTGAATGAGATAGAAGTTTATCCTAGAGGAGAAACCAATGCCAAGTCCCATGGCCCAACAGATGTTTAGAATCCAGACTAAGGAACAACTGAGCTGGGAAGCCAGGTTCATTTTTCTATAGAGAAAGCTAGGGCAAATGAAAGTGGAAATTACATCGCTGCAGTCCCCAGAAAATTGATTTTAATGATAATTTGAGGAATATAATTTCATCCAAAGGGTCAGTTATAAAGCATAACATAACAAAACTGGTTATCAGCATGCACACAAAACAACGTATACACGAAAAATCCTTCTGTATTGGTACAAAGTTCAGAGCAATAAACTCTGCTACATCACAAATCATTCAGAAGATTAAATAATGCAACTTTGCATATCAGGAAAGCTAGAAAGCAAAAGCTCCAAAGTACTTTTAATAGGCAGATCGATTTGTTTCAGTCCTACAGCTGCTTACCATACAAATCACCCTTGATCCACCTCGCTTCTTTTATGCCCCAGCAAGCACAAACAAGGGAGCAGATGAATAAATATTTCTTGATCATAGTTGTAGAGTGTTTCTTTGGATCAAAAGAAAAACCTACTGCTGAGGAAGGAGGGGAGGAGGGAGCTCCTGTGAGGGGAAAAAGGAAGAGACATGATCTACTTTTTTCCCCCCTCCCTATGTCCTCCATGCCAGAATTTTTGGATCTCTAGTCTCAAACACCGCAGGATTATGAAGTAAATTATTTAGAGACTCAGAACATTCACTCCATTGTACATGCCTAATAGCTGCTACAAGAAAACAGAAGACAAACTCAGATCTCAAGAGTCATTCTTGACAAAAAATAAAAGAACTGTAGTGAGCAGTAGGAAAACGCATGCAACAGACATAAGCAAAACATGCTTTGATTTTTCAGAGGAGCTACCCGAGTTGTCATTGTAACATTTATGCAAACAAACAAGAACTGTACAGCCATGGTGCTGTGTGAGTATGAATACTATTTTATAGACAAATATTGTCAGATGCCTAGCCCAAAGAGCTCATAGTTCAGTGTATTTACATCAAGGCTTGACAAGAGTTGCACAGAAATACTTCAGTATTTCTAGAAAGCATCTGTGTACTGAAAGCAAAAATATCCAAATGTCTTCTTTTACTTAAAAAATATTCAATCTACATTTAGAGTCCTGGAACACACTTTGTGTTGTTTTTTGTGAGGGCTGCAAGCTGTGTTCATTGTCAATAACAACAAAATGACATTTTCAAAGGATCAAATTCCTGATCACCACTTCTGTATCTGACAGCCCTCACGAGACTTCTCACGGGGTAATGGGTGTCCTTTGCCCAGCCTTAGTCAGATTGCTAGAGACTTTGAAAGACTCAAAACACGGACTGTAGTCCAAAGCAAGTAAGGAGCAGAGATGGAATATCTAAAAAGAAAAGGTTTAAAAGATTGGAAGATCGAAGATTTAAGGGCTTTAACCATTTCTAAGGATTAGTGAGTAACGGGAAGAAATAAGCAGCAGTCTATTCGTTATATAGGTAGCTACATAACCTGCAGTGTCAATTCAAAAGTTAACACCAAGCTTAGGGGAATATTTTTGACGGACTGTTCAGCCTGCTGTTTACCAGAAACCAGAATAAACTGCCGATGAAGCAGCGAGGACAACTAGCTTTGAACAACTTCGGGCTGCATTATGTTTTCACTTGGGGCTTGACCAACTCAGGATCAACTCCCAGGGAAATTCTGTGATTCTGTGAAATCATTCAGGGTAGGTTTTTAAGCACCAAAAGGCAGATATCCGCTAACACAGGTGGGCCTATCTTCCTCTACATCCTAGCACTGCTTTTCAGGTTTTCCATTGACTTGTGGGAAGTGAAAACAAGAGGCTAAACAGCCCTCAAGCACTCTTATAAACAATATATAGCATACAAAAGAAAATAACGACAGGGGTGTAAAATACAATACCAACTTCAACAATACATGTTCTTGTTGCCAAACGAGAAAATAAAATGCAACGTTAAGATTTAATACTATTTGCTTTGTAACAAAAGGTAAGAGTTCATAGACGAGGATATTCCTGCAAGATTTACAGTCTTCAGAGATCTAAATGCACAGAAGTCAGGAAGCTGGAGACAAGTCAGTAGCTTTATGACTCACAAAAGTCCAACAGCCACAAGGTCACTGTAAGAGTGATGCAATGAGCTCTTACTGTCAGCAATAGTCAGAAAGGTGGGCTGCGTTTGTGCCCACAGATCAGCATGCGTGTTTTGAGGCTACAATGAAGATGACTTCATTGTCTAACCCACCGAGATGCCCAGCATAAAGCCATTTTATTTGGATGGGTACTCAATACCAATCTTTCACCCAGATATATTCTTCGAAAAACAGTGCTTTTGCCATCTTGAAAAGTCACAGCAAATGAAAACAAATTATAAAGTACATTCAAAAAACAGTCAAAAAGCTTATTTGGCATCCAATTCCAATTTTAATCTATGTTGTTTTTTCTCTTCCGAGACACCTATCCTATACAGGTTCTACGATTAACTCATTATCATCTCTTGTCCTGTTGGCATCCTCAGTCTTGCTGATTAATTTCGGTTATAGTCTCATTATTTCAGTTCTATAAATACCCCATTTAATTTTACTCCTTTCTATGGTTACTCTGCAATCCTCTTTTTCTCTTCCACCTGGGGCTCTCACTTTCAATTTAATATGAGACAGTGGGCAAAGATTGAGCTGAAATTCAGTAATTGTACCTCCCTGCCCTGGAAAACGGAATAATTTATTTTTGTTATGGATGGAAGCAGCTGTGAGCTGCTCTGAAATCCCACAAAACCCAATACTTATTACTTGTCAGATTAACAATAGAAAATATTGGCTTCTGTAATTTGAAAAACGTATATAGTTGGATTACAATATATTGCAACATTTGCATTTAGGAAGAATGAAGTTGAATCATAACCCAGATGCCAGCATGCTGGACATATCTGGTTCCACCTGCAGGAATATTAAACCACCACCCAATTCATCACTGACAAAACAGGTTACATCCACAGTCATTGGCATTCAGTACACGACCGCCCACAGAAGACTCTCCCTGTTCTTTATGTCCTTGAGTTATGTTTAGTACTTTCAGGCCTCACGTTTTCTGACCTTTCAGCCTTTGCCATAAGTTCCTGGGATCCTCTGATGGCTTGGGCAAGCTTCCGAGTGCTTCTCCTATAAGTGTAAGCACATCCTGAAATCAAAAGCAAACATGGAAATTATTTGGTTTTGTATTCCTGCCATTTCTCATGTCCCCTATCACAGGCCTACCATTAGCAGCTACATCCAGTCCCTCAAAAGCAACTAGGTAGGCAGCACTCATCAGCACAACTTTGCTGGAGTTTTAAAGCATCCTGTTTAAAAACTTTGTTGAGCAGTGTGGCCAGTGATCTGCTCCATAAAGCAAGTCTCTTCTCTAAGAAGGGGAAGGAAAAAGCAGCTGGCCTTTTCAGGAAAGCTGGGAGGAAAACAAAACAAAACAAACAACAAAAGATAAAGTGCAGTCTCAAATGAGGCTTAAGTTCTGAAATCTAAGGTATGGAGTGAACGGGAGTCAAATGTCAGGAGACTGGAATTATTAGGTAAAAAAGATGTGTGGTACAGCACACAAATTCCCATCCTGCTCACAAACACAGAAAGATTGTGCTCGCTGAAGCCCCAAGATCTACCTGCTTTCAGTCTGACTCCCTTCCAAAAGTTGAGAGAAGAGTTATTCCTTCAGGAAGAAGATCATCCTGAGGAATAGCCACAGAAAACGCAAAGAATTCTACACATTACAGCTTACATTGCCTACTCTCTATTCCAGAGGTATTGCCTGAATCTTTGTGACAGTAGACACAGAGAGAAGGCAGTTCTCAGTGCATCCGAGAGGCTGTAGCCTCCATAGCACGCTGCAGTGTCCTATTCTGAGACTCTTACAGCAAAGGGCACAAGGAAGGCTAGTATGGGCATAGTTACCTACTACCACATCACTCTGTTATTTACCACTTTGTCTTGGACAGCGCATCAGAAAACTAACTGTGAAGAAATCCTGGGAAAAACCTTCAGCTTACAAAAACCAGGCAAGCTCAAATGAGTTGATCAGTATGTTAATCCCAGGTATTTTATTAATGATACGGAGACAAATTCTACTCCGACTTGCACTGGGTTCAGGTCAATCCAATCTCATTGCCATAAATCCAGGGAAATCTGCTTTACTTAGTTACAGTATGTATAAAATGTGCCACAACATGTGCTTACTCTGGAGTAAATCTGTTCTTCCAGTTTCTCTTGGATTAAAGCACTTTCCATTAGCACTTTCTTTCGTCTGAGAAAGGCAATCTTGGCTAACTCCGCCTTCTTCTTCTGACAGTCAGGGCACACTGAAGGTTCGTGGATTTGAGCTTCTGTCACCTAAAAGATGAGCCTTTGATGCAACATCTGTCCTAGCAAGATGGCCACTCCATTAAAAACAATCAATAAAAATACAGATATAGATACTGTCTAAAGATAAAAATTTGTGTTTGTAGGCAGCTGTAAATTGTTTCATAATCTTTATCACAATATCATCTTGATAAGCCTGTCTGAATATTTTCACACTAAATTTATTTGCTCTTCCCCACGTGTTACCCCTTTCAGCGGTGATAACTTAGTTTCATTTAAAATTATCTACTTGTATCTCAGAACCACAAACCTGCTCCACAATACACTATTTCTTCTTGTAACAGGCAAACTTTCCCTGATGCTCAAGGTTGCATGGACATTACTAACTTCTACCACAGAAACTGTAACGGTCAAAAAAAATGAAGTTATGCGATTGCTGAGCAACAGATCGGTGACCAGCTAAAATCAACTGTGAGGATACAGTTATAATGGCAAAAAAACTGTTTTAATTAGTATAACTCGTTTGACCCTGGGTGGATACTCAGTGCAAATCACAGTTTTGCCAATGTAAATACATATTTCGCCAGTGTTTAATACATTTAGAGCATTAATTAGTATAACTCGTTTGACCCTGGGTGGATACTCAGTGCAAATCACAGTTTTGCCAATGTAAATCTATACATATTTCGCCAGTGTTTAATACGTTTAGAGCACCACCAGTCACTAGTTACTCTCACTTAACAAGTACCTGATGTTCAGGAAGCCAGTCTGTGCATGCTAACCAATCTTCCACAGTAGTAAATACACTAATTCCTAAAGGCTCAATTAAGTTAAATTAACATGTTTTACTCCGTGTTTCAAATACTTGATCATCACAACTCAGTATTAGCAATTGCTAATCAGCAGTAATTCTACCATATACAGCTGCCCATCTAACAGGTGCAAATTTATCAGAAAATAAGGCTTTGCTCTTCAGTTGATCCAGGGCTTATCGTGGACTGCAATAACTGACCACCCCAGCCTCACTCAATCACACAAAGCCTTATTTTATCGCCAGACAATATTTTACACTGCAATAGTTCAGCAGTAGGGTCTAACAAAAAAGATGAGAAAGGTAAATCTTGAGCTATCAAGCAAAAATCTCTTTCAGAGGCATGGCATCAATAAGGTCTCCCTGACTTGATCCTTGATATTACAGCTTTTTATTTTCCCCAGTGGTTCTCCCAAAAGTGTAGGCAAAATCTGAATTTTGTTTCTCCCTTGCAGTACCTGTTTAACAGTCTCTCTGATATTTTTTAGGTGGATTCTGTTCACTAGCCGATCAGGAACAATGCAGTTCAAGTCACTTGTCTCCAGTTTCTTTGGTGTGAATCCATGCTGCAGCTTTCTTGACTTGCCACCATTCGCCTGCCCAGAGATCAGCTGCTGACGCATCTTGCTTATCATAACAGTGCAAAAAGACCGGAGAGCATCCAGTTCTCCATCTAATAATTCAGTCATTTCTGACAGGCATAAATCAACAAAACAAGAGTGTCAATTACT